AACATTAGTTAAAAAATTAAATCTTTTATATGTTTGGACATTTTAATTTTACTTTAATTTTTTTAATTTTAACTTTAAATTTGCTTTTTAACATATATACATGTTTGTTAAAATATATTTATATATATATTTTCACTCTGTTACCCAGCTCAGTGATCTGTTTCTTTACTCTTATGTTTGTAAATTATGAATTTTTTGCTTTAAAAATGATTGAATTATATTGTTCTTATCTTCCGGTTAAGGTTTTTATGCCTTTGGGAAATCTGCAAGCAATATTTGTAGAATTATCACCAATTTAAAAGCTGTGTAAGTGCAGTTAAGCCTAATTTTTAAATAACACGGCAGACATGTTTGTTTACATTTGAAACAGCAGAATAGTAGATTTGTCGCCAAGCTTCGAAGCAACAAAGATAACACCTTCATTTATAATTGTGAATTAAATCATGTTTAATTCTTTCTGGAAGTTTTTCGAGGAAATAAGTGTTAAAGATTTACTTCATAATTTTTAATATAAATATTTTGAGTTTTTATGTATTTTTGCCTTGTCACAAAGTGAGAACTGAATTAATTGAATGAGAAATACTGAATCATATGTGAAAAGCTGTTTCTTTTTTGTTTTGTTAATTTTTTTTAATACATCGATCTAGAATTATTATAGTACTTGAATAGAACATGTGGCAACAATTTAATAATTCTTCAAATGATATAAATTTTGTGCATTCTGAGTTATAATATTATTCCGAGTTATAAATTCGATTGCGACACACGAGTCTCTGACTGTGCTTCTTGATTTTTAATTGTTCTCCTAGATTTGGCCAGTAATAGCGAACGAACTGATAAGGGCAAAATTCCATGGCATGCTACTTTTAGCAATTATGATAGTGATTATTAATTATTCTAATTATTCAACTTATTCAGGAAAATCGACTACATCCAGAGATATGCCTTTAAATGCTTCAGATGGCCCGGCACTTCAAAGTATAATTGCTATTCTAATTTCTACTAAGAAAAGTAAATTCCAGAGAAAAGAAAACCACAGGAAGTCCTAAGAAAATAGTCGATAATACTAAGAAATTCAAACCCTCCCCTTCAAATTTTGCAGCAGTAGTTAACAAACACAGAAAAGTTTTTCCTAATTTAACAGAAGCTATCTCGCAAGAATATCTTAATACTCAGCTTCCAACTAACCCAAAAGAACTCGCACTCAAATTAGAAAACGAAATCACCGATAAATTAAACTGTATTGAGTCTATGAAGACATTTACCTCCCTACCAGCGATAGGAATACGTTCAAAGTTACAAGAAGAAATTCAATAAAAACGGTCAATTTTAGCAAGCATTCAGAACATTTCTGAGCTCATAAATTCTAAAACAGATGATAAAACAATAAATCAGAATGAATGGCAAACTCCAAAGAAAACAGCGAAAAATACAGAGTCTACCCCACCACCAGATATTCCGCAAAAAAAAAAAAAAAAAAAAAAAAAGATTTGAAACTCTTAACGTAAATAACAAAGCAATGGAAGTTACAGATGAAACGCAGACGACTACAATACAGAATAATCCAGAAAACAAAACGAAAACCCTGAAATAAGACAAAATGCTCATGAAAATGAAAAGATTTAAGTTACAATCAAAGCAGAAGATTTTCCTTTACAATCAAAGCCAAACAGTTTTTAACTACAGTGAAATCCGATTATACAGCACGTTGAAAATTCCAAAGTACAGATTAATTTTCATATGTACCAAAATTTCCCCAGCCTCTTCAATTAAAGTTATACTTAAAGTACCCAATTCCTACAATGAGCAAGCAATACAGACTTAGAAACCCGAATATTTTTCCAAATTGACCAAAATCGACTAATTCTGCAGGAGAGAAAATTCATCAATTAAACAACATGTTCGGATTCAATATCACAATAGAATAACCCAGAAAATTCTCAGTTCAATGTTTCAATTGCCAACAGTTCGGGCACTACCAAAATGCTTTAAAAAGGTCAGATGCTGCAAGAGCGAACAAAATCACAGATCGAATACCTGTAAATTAAAATGCAAAAGCAACTTGCATTTACTGTCACGAAAATCGTGCTTCTCTTATCGTGGTTGTAAGGTATACAGAAAAAGATTCAATCATTTAGAGAAGATAGAAAAACCACAAGAAATTCCCACTAAAGATGACCTCCCCAAATTCCTTCAAGCTTCAGCCCAAACTAATCAAAGAAATGCCTAAAAAACTTTACAGTGACAAAATTAAGCAGAAAAACCCACAGGAAAATTTAGCAGAAATCATTAACATTTTCAAAGATCAGAAAAGCCTCTATCTCATGAAGTCAATAACCACAATAGCTCAGAAAATTAAATCAGCTAACTCAAATATGCAGAAACTTCGTCTAGCTTTTCAAGCCATCGAGATTATTTTGAACTTTGTACATCAAGATTAATTTGCAGCTCCTCTCAAGACGAGCATAGCCAAGCAGCAGTACAATTTTTGCCAAAAGATGGCACTATGTTTACTTCTCTTCTAGAGACTCTGCACTAGGTGCAAAAAGTACGTTCCATCTTACTGGATTCAACTCGTCATTAAAGATACCCTATTTATAATATATTGGTAAAGGCCACACTAGCCCCATTGCCTCTTAATTGCATTACTACATAAACATGGACATAGTTATAATATGAACGAAATATAATGCTGTTAAATGAACCTAGCGGCAGAGTATCACTATGATAAACAAATATAGTGAATTTTAAAGAGTACATTTATTCTTTTGTGGGTTATGCACTATCGACAAAGTAGATTTAATTCAATCGAATAAAGTTTAAATGAAATGCAAGAAAAAATATGTATTATTAAATATTCCGAACAAGGAATTCATGTGGTGTACACATCAGATTTTTTTTATTGTGACAACAGTAATCATTGACTCCTAATATTATTGACATTAGAAGGGTGCGCTTTACACTTTGCTCAAACTCTACACAATTGTTAAGATCCTTAGTAGAGATGGACTATTCATTCACAAATTGATTCAGAGAACCAATTCTCAACCAATTCAATTTACTCAGCGAGTGAATGCCTGATTTGTAAAAAGTTCTTTTAGAGTTTACCCACCAAGAGCTCCTGTTGGAAGTGTAAGGGAAGTTCAGTTCCTATTTTAGAGGAGAAAAGGTTGTTTATCCTCCTACATTAAAAATGAATTTAGTTTTTATGATTTCCCAACTTTTTGAACTTATTTTTATTCTAGAAATTTTATTGTTAATTCTACATAAAAAGGAGGTTATAGAGAATCTCAAAACTGTTAACTGAAAGAAATCAGTTCAGGAGATGGCTTTTAATCGGGTAGATTTTTCAGATTTCACTGCTCATTAGATTCTTTTCGTTTCTTTAACTTCACTTTGACCGTTCTCAATCCCCCTGCTCGTTCGATTCTTTCTGCTCTTTGCTCCATCCTCCCATCTAGATTCACTCCCCAGTACTAAGCTTTTTCATGAAGGTTGTTGTTAGTGAGCAACGAGTCACCAAAAAAAAAAAAAAAAAAAAATTCAATTCAGTGACAGAACTATTCTGATCTGATCACATAAAAGAGCAGTTTTGCCTACCTTTAATCCTTAGAATGAACCTTTTTGCAAATGTCTAGCATGCACTATTTAGATGTAAGCAAGAAAAATCGAACCTAGTTATCTACATAGCATTTTATTTTAGTTCCTTCATTTGCTACAAGCACCAATAAACAACACTTCAAATAAGATGCCTGTAGTGTGAAGTTAATATTTTACTTTAAAAATTTTATTTTTGAAAAATTATTTTAAGAATATTCAAAGAATAAGTAATACAAATCTTCATTAAAAAGTGTTTCATTTTACTTTCCCACAAATTTGTTTATAACTGATAAATGATATTTATCATAAAAATGTACGAAATATAAATATGGCAAGGTATATACTGAATAAATTGTTTTCATCACAACCCATCTCCTTGGAATGACTTCAAAATTTCAAGGAAAAGCACCTACCATTCATCTTAATAGAAAACTTTTCCATTTATCATTGGACCTGAATTTTCCTCTGCCATTTTTCATATTTCACAAGCAAATACAAAAATTTGATTTGACAATCTGTAAATTATAAATTTGCAGAAAAATAAGGTAAATAAAAATTAATAAAACTTTTTTTAACTTTTTTCATTTCATAATTTTGTACTACATCTCTCATAACTTGCTACCATTGCTATCCATCCAAGTATTCAGATAGATAACAATGGATCAAAATGCATCCATATGAAAAGAAATAAAAACCATTACTGAGAATTTTATTTACTAACATATTACATTTCTAGCAATTGATGTTAATTTCTTGTCCTTTTTTATTATTCATGCCCCCTCCTACCTCTCATTTTAATTCAGCATATTGTTTGCTTGCTTCTATTGTTTGCTTGTCTATTGTTTGCTTCCCCTCTACTTTAACTTTTATTTTTTATTTTTATTTTATTTATTATTTATTTATTAACTAAATTGAAACTATGACCAAATTTCCACCATTTTTAAAAACAATCATTGCTTCAATACTGAACAAAGGGGAAAAAATTTAAAATACCAACTAAATCATTAATTAACGTCACTTTTTTTACTTACAAGTACCTTTAAATGCATTTAATTATTACTATATCACCTAAGACAGTAATTAAATTTTATAACTCTGCAAACTTATTATAACAATTAAATGCATTTATAGGTATTTACAACAAAAACCGGAAATTGATTACCTCAATTTATACTTTCACTACAGAGAATTTTTCCAAGTAATGAAGCTGATATAGATAGAAAACTGACCCTTTTAATCTGTTGAAGTTAATTTTTTAAGTGCAGAAGACCAATTATTACTAAACAGAATAATGCCTGCAAAATGCTCAAAAATGACATAGAAAAGATTCACAAATTTCGTTGATACACTGCAAGAATGTAATTAAAAGTATGCACAAAATTAAAGAAAAACAACACAAGATGGTTTGCAATTTTTAATTACATCAAAATCACATCAAGAATTAGATACTTTCTTTTCACAATTTGATCATCAATTAATACACCAAGAAAGCATAGAAAATCCTCCTACCCAGACATACCTCTTATACTACACACATTAATACATATATCAACTACAGAGCTCTCAAAATGTTAACTACTTGTAACAGAAAAATTTAACCCTCCGAGTATGAAGCATGACAAAGACAAAAGTGAAAAACCTTCCTGACACAATATCCTTTCTTTTATCCATTCAAAAGCTTCTGTTAGACAAGTAAGACAAATTCCCAATCCAAGCTATTACTCTTGGAACTTAACTGTTAAAAATTTAAAATAATAATAATTCATATAGTTCTTCTCATACACTGAATGTTTCTCCCATCACTCTTTTAAACATATTTCGACAAGAAATCTATAAAAATTCAACACAATACCAGCATTTTCAAAGTTTAATTAAAATTCTCCATCTGTAAGAACTTCAGCATCAGCTTCAACTTATCATGCATATGTTTCCTGATAGCTAATATATTTATGCTGATACTTTTTTTTTACAGTTTAAAAATGCATTTTGTGTATTTGTTGTTACAGCTTATCACACTTCAATGTGAAACAGATTTCATATATATCAAATTGCCTCAGAGCTAATTCTAAAATATTTTAATTCACAAATTAAAAAAAAAAAATACTGATAAAATGCACCTGAAATTTCTTCATCTAAACAGCAAATTTTAAGTCCTATCCCCCCCCCTGTTAATGCATTTTATCTAGGTAAAGAAGTGTCAAGTGCAGATGACAATATCTGACAGTGTACCAAAATATTATTTAAAACATAAATTATTTTAAGATACAATTTTAAAAATCATATTTTTGTTAAAGCACAAATACGAAAAATTTGCTCAAGTTTTTCTCATGTCATTAAAAAAAATTTACATGAAACAAATATGAATTCAGTTTTGGGTAAAAAATTTCACATAAAATAATTCAAGCAATGATTACAAAAATGCCACATGCCTTATAAAATTGAAATAAAATGTCATTTTTAGAATTAAGGTCATTGCAAATGAAATTCTCTCCGCTGACAGATTTTAATCATATTATATTATTATTGCACTAGAATAGAAGAATTTACACAGTGTTTTTGTTGAAATTGCATTTTACATAATATTTTGCACTTCATATATACATAATATTTTGCACTCTTTATCATTAAAATTGGTAAAACCTGATAATTAATGCTCAATAAGAAATTTTAGAATAGGAAAAAATTTGAATAATCATTTTTCCACACGGAACTCTCCAAGAATAAAGTTTCATTTGAAAAAAGGTATTTCCTTGTTAAAATGAGCACAGAACTTAGCTGCCAAAACCAGCAAACTTAGTCAACTAATCCATAAAACATAAACTTCAAACATTACCAAACGCTTATACAGTGGCTGTTTTAACAAGGAAGGACCTGGAAAAGCATTATTTCAATGCGTTTCAATGAGTTCAAGTGGCTTATAATTCTAAAAAAAAATCTGAATAATAAACTTTCTTTTACAAAATAAATTACATAAAACCAGTGCTATCAATAATATACTTTTTTCCCCAGTTCAAGATTATTAATTAAGAATACTAATTACAGGTAACAATATCCACTATTTTTAAAGTGTTCTTATAAAGGCATTTTATCAATATATGATACTAATTTCAACAACTTGAATTATAATAATCACATATATATATATAAAATTTTTTAAAAAGTATTACACATATACATGTGTGTCAAAATGATATATGAAAATCTGTCATGTACACCAAAAATAAAAATTCTCTGCAACATATCTCATCATCATCATTTTATACTAGTGTATTGTTTACTTATTTCAGAAAATGATTTTTAAATTTCAAGACTCGTCCTATAGTCAGAAGTCTGACTTCAGAAGTCGCATAGCTGCATGAAGCACTTGCAGAAAACAACCCTCTTACAGTAAAAGAAAACTTAACTCAACAACCAAACTGCTTTTAAAAAGCAAGATAAAAGCATCCATTAGCTGCACCACTTGCTCGTATATACGAGACAGCCATAGTTTTAACCCTTTGTGCGGAATGTTTCCTCGACTTGAACATTCGAGAAAAATGAGAACTAAGAGTAGTTCATTCATTTGAACACCTCTCTCTCGTTCAATAGAAAGACTAATCAAATAACAATCATCATCAGCACAATCATGAAATCCTGCTCCATACAAATGTGGGAAAGTGGAGACCAAATTTGGGTCTACGGGGCAAAGGTTTAGAACAAAGATTCCAAGAAAAATAGAAATATAAAAAAGAGGAGGTATGTCTGGATAGAGGTGAAATTAGGCCTCAACTAGGCGCCTTGGCAAAAAGGGCATAAGTGAGATCGTAATTCTTGAAATGTGAAAACTGCAGTTCTTTACGACAAAATCCGTGGAAGTCCATGCTATGATACAGGCGGTGCGTATTGGCAGCAACAGATAGCTGTAAATAAATGAATTAGTTATAATTAAACACAGTAAAAGCAGTTTCACAAACAAAATAACTTAAATTGTATAACTTTACAAAAACATAATACAATTGCTTCCAGGATAAAAGCAAAACACTATACAATTACTTCCATAAGGAAGTTACCACTTCATTTAAAATGCTATCCAAATGTCTAAAACTTCTTTATTATCTAGACTTCTACGTGCATCAAATGAGATTTACAGGTTTTGTATTGTTTGAAGCCATGTCAGGCAAGGGTGCTTCCCATAAATTTATATTGTTTTGACCAAATATGGAATTCTGGTATTTCAATAACACAAAATGGACAGTCGCTGGGAAAGACTTTTCAAGATCCAACCTGCGCTGGATTATTTCCTGCATACATTTGGAACAATATACAAACCAAAGCAGCAGTTCCTTTTCGACAAGAGAATGATTCCACGCCGAGGGCGCTTCAAAGTTTGCATGCACAGCCCAGCAAAAATAAAACATGATTCACTTGTTCAGATGGTGTGCAAAAGTGACACTGGTTATATCTGCAACATGATGATATACACTGCTGAAGGAAAGAAACTACAGGAAAATGCTGTTTCACTCCTTGGACCCCTATCTTGGCACACAACACCATATTTACCAGGATAATTATCACAGTGTTACATCTGCTGAATTGTTGCTATAGAATGAAACTAGAAACTGTGGGACTATTAGGAAGAGTAGAGATTTACTGCCAAATTTGAAAACAACAAAAAATATCAAGAATAAAGAAAAGTGACATAATATTTCCCCCAAAAAAGGAGATATTCTTCTCCTAGCATGGAAAGACAAGTGGGTTGTCTAAATGATATCAAAGATCCATGACACTTCTACATTGACAACAGGAAAATAATTGAAAAAGGAAGAGAATATTGTAAAACCTACCTGCATCAAGGAATACAATGCCCACATGAAAAGCGCTGACCATGCAGATCAATGCCTTCCATGCTATTCCATTGTAAGGAAAGCGATGAAACGGCAAAAAAGTAGTGCTGTACCTTACACACTGTGAACTTCTCAATTTATTTAGAGTGTACAACATCCTCAATCCAAAAGCAAAAATGAAGTATAAACAGTTACTGCTATCAGTGTCAGGAGACTGGATAATGGATGACAATAATGAAGACTCTCCAGAACCAGAGGCAAATCTGTCCAGCCCTTCCCCTCCAAACGGTTGTCAGGTAATAAGAAGTAGCATGAACCTATGAACATTCCAACAAATGGAGAAAACGTGTTTCCAATGACAGCCTGCACAGTTTGTGCTGCCCATGGGAAAAAGAGCAAATCTAGATAGTTAAGTAAATTTTGGTTGGTTCCTCTTCATACAGAAAAAAATACTACTATTTCTTTTGATTTTAAAATGCTAATTCCTACAGGCCACTGAGAAAACATGCCATTTAGAGTTACCTTTTATTCTATGCGTAAACGGAAAGTCTTTTGTTAATAGTGAAAAGTGCACGTTTCGGAAACTTTAAGTACTTGAATACATGTAAATTCTGGAGAAATGCAGTCTAAATTTCTGGCTTCATAATTTTAATCTCTTGTTCCGAAATAGCATAATTTACAAACTTCCACTTTAATCACAAATTGCAAGAAACACATGCTACATTTTCTCCCCATCATACAACTGAATGAGGCCTGCAGGTTAAGCAAGCCCTTCACAACAGGATGCTTGATTAGAAAGCTAAGAGTTGGAACTTGCTGAGCTATGATTGGTTACACTTCAAATTCAGCAAGTCAACTTAACAAGAATGATACACAATGTTGCTAGCGTTTCACCAATTACTGGAGAAATAAGTTGTTTTCGTTTTAAATACCACTTTCTTCCCCCTTTCACTAAATTTCACAGTTTTTTCAGTACTTTTCATAGCTCTTAGTTTTTATGGAATTTCTCTAAGAACTATAGAGAATCTGTAATAATTAGAGTTCTATGTGAATATACTATACGAAGATGTTCTAGGGCCCATGGAAAATATTCTATAGGCTATAATGTACAATATTCATACTAGACACTATATGCTAGTTCACTGAATACAGTGATCAACTGCACATGTGCCTGTTCATGTTACAACTTCATCTTCATAAAAAGATGACACTCTGGATTCAGAAAACTGATCATGACAAAACTAGCAGCATGTGGGATACGAGTACATAACATGTTAAGAATTGCTTTTGTGATAGAGACTCACAGTTTGCATGAAAACTTATCCTTTAGATTTACTTCTTTTTTGTCAATATAATGTCTTTAAATAAAGCAAATCTTTTGTTCATATTAAATTCATCATAGTAATGAACAGAGAAGTTTCTACAACAGTAACTGTTTTTCCAGTACACTTCGTGGAGAAAATATCCGATAAAATAAAAATAATACACTTTTAGTTCATTCACCAGCGAGTTCATACTATAACTACATCACCATTAATAAATGCAAATCTTAACAGAAAATTCAAAATTTTTGAAAGGAAAATCATTCAAGGAAGACAAATCAAAAATTTGAATCAATCTAGATAGAGATTCTTCTGTTAAAGATACATAAATATTATTAATTATTAAGAAAAGTGTTAAAATATTTTGAAACATTTTTAGCAAGAACCTATATTTTACAGTTTTTATTTATAATGTTTGCCAAGTTAATATTAAATGAAATTAAGTCACTAAATTAAAAAAAGATGCAGTTTATTTTATGTATCTTCTATATAACTATGCTATAATTAACTATATAATTTAATATTCTCAACTAAATGCAAAATCTTTAAAATGCACATAAACTAATACTGTACCTTGTTAGCAAATAAAGTCATGATGAACTTCCCAGGGCAAAACAGTTTCAGGAGGCGTGAAATTAAATCCATGTAAGATTCCTTAAAAAAGTAAAAATATTTTAATTTAAACTATATATTGAAATTAGTCACATAGCCAAAAAAATTCTAGTTTAATTTCATAACACACTACAGAAGTATGAGCTAAATGAATATTAACTAAATATAGTTAGATTAAAAAATGAGCACTTGGAACAAAATTTATAACCAATAATTAAATAAAAATATATAAAAATAAAACAGAAATCTTACACAAGCAGATTTTTACAGATCCTAGGTACATTAAACTTCATATAACAATCATTCAGCATGCAGCAGGTAATAAGAATAAATTTTTTTAATCATGAAATTAATTTTATTTCATTCTGAGATTATTTCATTCTAGATGGTGAAATTTTCAAAAACAGTTTCATAGTGGCAGAAACAAAATACTTTGGATCATATTTGCATTTCACTAGTAAGAAAACATTCAGATTTGCCTTCAAATGTATTTTTTATCATACAAGTCCTAAATCACATCAAAAATACAGGGAAATCATAAAACTTGATCAGATACATTTGCAATCATCTCAGTAAATTTTTACAAAAGATTGCCCTGTCACTGGAGGAAACTCCATTTTAATACACGTTTTATAGATTAATATAGTATATCTGACATATTTATATTAAATTGAAGTGCAACAATATTAAGTACATCTTCACCAATCTGGATGCTATCCAAAAGGTTAACATTCAAATGATAGAAATGCAAAGTCTTAAAAGCTGCAGCATGGTCAGACACATGATTCACTATCATTTCACAGAAAGCACATCAAGAGTCACAAATATGGGACACTATTCAGGTAGCTAATGCCACATGCCACAAGTTTTAACAGGTAACAGCAAAGATACATCAGAAATTTTAATTTCAGCCAAATAGTGGCATATAAAATGCTGTACATCCACTGGTAATATAAAATGGGAACTACCTGTACTTCGGAACAACGATAATTACCTAAACAGAACACTTCCTGAACACATATCAGTTCAATTCTTATGCCTCTCAAACCACCAATCAATGTACCATACAGCATTAACTGCATGCCACAACCTTTACCAATTGCTGGCTAATACAGGTACATATGTTAACACCACTACTTCAGTAACCATTCACCAAGGCACAGATCATCAATACACACCATCATACAGCCTAGTTAAATGGATCTTATGTCAGTTGTTTTCAGCAGACAGAAGTATTCATAAGTAAAGAAGACTATCCAAGTATCAACTATTTATATGTAAAAGGAGGCTATAGATTCATCCTATCAACAAGTGTTGTACAAAGATAAAGTAGTTCTGACATAATACAAGGTTGGTTTTGCAAGAATATGCAAGGATAATAAGTGCAAACTGGAGTCTTACTTGAACTGAACAAACATAAATGTAAGTGTAGACCATTTGCTCTTCTTTATTATCCTTGGTAATTTATTCTTGGTAATGTAAGACCCTTGGTAAAGTGGTAAAGTGGTAAAGATGATTCCTGGCTTAGATCTTCCACAGCAACTCCTTCACAACTACCAGACTCAGTTAAGAGACACAATGCAAGATCCCGCAGGATGCTTTGAAGCAACACTATGAATAAGTCTATATTATGAACAGCAATAAGATGAACCTGACTCAATGTATCCTCACAATATAGTTTAATGATGTGAATAATGCAATAATTTGTATACAAGGAGAAGTGATATAGTACATCATAGAAGGTGCACATAATATCTTTATTTTCAAGAATTTTTAAATATGCCTTCCTTTATTTACTTTTCCATATTTTTGAAATATATACATTTAAAATTTAGCAAGAAATAACCTAATTTCCAATACTAAATCACTGGCATTATTAAAAATATTTTAAATGCTTCTTTATAATGATTAAAATGTATATGGATAATTTTCTTGGATTACTTCATTTTCATTTTTCTTTAATAAATAACAGATAAAAATTTTTAAAAATAATGACACATTCCTTATTTCTATTCATAATTTCATAACTCAAATATTCTAATTGAACATTCAAAAACTAGACAAATGTCATAAAAGCTTGGCATCTCTTTCTAATGCTGGGTAAGTACAATTTTTTTAATGGCATCTTGCAAATAAATTTTAAAAAGATAAAAAAAAAAAAAAAACAACCTGTGGATAGTTCGTCTCAAAACTGACATAAGAATATTGTGGCTCTGGCGTTATATGAATGGTAGCATAGTAGCCCTGAAGGAGAAAAATATACCAGAATTAACAAACAATTATAAAAATGTTCTGCAACTAAAAAAGTACAGGAATGACAAATTTTATTGTTCATGCAACATAAATGGGATTACTTTCTTCATATAATAAACACTTAATACAAAAATGTGTTACATTTCTTTTGAAAAGCTTAGATAAAAACTAAACTGATGGGAGGAAAATCTGAATGAATAATAATTCTTTGGTCTCCAATATGGACAATGGCATTCATTCAAGTTTCTCTAACTGGACTAGCTGCCAAGTTTTAAAAAATAAAATACTGATGGCTAATATAGCAGGTGCCATACACTTCAAGCTTAAGTTGCAAAACATAGAACAGTAAAATGTTGATGGCCGATATAATTCAATTAAAAGTAAAACACATTTATAATACTTTAACATGTATTTTTTTTTTAATCTGCATACATAGAAAAATGGGAAGCCAGATAATCTGTACATAAATTGAAATGTGCAGTCTAATTACCTTTTTATCAAATTAAAGTTATGAAATTCATTCTATAGTACCTTCAGAGTATTAATGCTTTTCTTATATTAATAAATAGAAAGAAAAATTACTCAGAAAAGCTATTTTGGTAAGGTGAGGTATATCAATGCTGAATTTAAATTCCAAGATCCAAAAAGAAGTAAAAAAAATCAGATTTCATTTCTATCACATTATAATTATAAAACTAATTGGTACTATTCCATTTTGAGGACCGTAAGAAATTGCAGTGAAAATGTATGAGCAAAAGCACCAAATCTAGCAAACGTTCCCATTTAACAGCGCGCCAAATCTAGCGTCAAATGAAGCTGATTCCAGATTACGCAAGTTATAGAATTTTAGGTAAAGTGCAGAACCCCCCACCGTTTGACACGTTTTTAAGAATTGCACATACTTGGTATCCATGTGCACATCGACATATTTTCATATTTTCACTTAAAAAGAAAAATTCCACAATTGCACAAAAATGACACTGTGCACACCCTTGGCTTTATCTTTGTACACATCGACCTATTTTCACTTAAAAAGTAAAAGAAAATTAACAAAAATCCAATTGTTTTTATCCTTGTAAAAAGCAGCAAACAAATAAGTGAGCGATTCTGCACTTTACCGAGAATATTTTCAAAGAAAAGGCATCATTCATTATAGAAAATTATGTTTGAACAACCAACGAGATGAAATTATGCTTTAGCAATAAGTCGGTAGCGAAATAGCGATGCAGGCATCCATTCGGTTATGTTTAGCAATTTTTATATAAATTATAATAATGATCTGATATAGTTATTTACTTTTATGCTTCCATTTAGTCATGTTCAGCCTTTTTTATATAAATTATAATAATAAAAAAGTATAACATGAAATTAGCCTTTCATCTAAATTAAAACATCAATCTTAGATAGTTATTAACTATTATACTTCCTTTTCTTGCCTTAGGGTTGCCGCAATTATTTTTGGCATCAACAATAGTTTGGCGATTTTTTACGGCCCTCGAAACCGAATATTACAAACTAATTTTATAAAAAAATCTCGTTATAATGTAATAAGAAGGGACTTTTTATTTGCTTTTTTTACTAATATAAGTAACTCAAGAATATGCATTATATGAACTTTTAAATTTTTATAGTTATTCTCTCTAAAAAAATTAAAATGCAAAAAGTAAAGAAATAAAACTAAACTGAAGGACCCTAATGATAAAGTTATTATAAAATAATATTGTCTGACTATCACTAGGATACACATTTCACTAGAGAGACTTACCCCTTTAATAAGGCCATTCATTGAATATCCACATGGTTCAAATAAGTAATCATCAATAACAATTCCAGGGAAAAGTTTATCAATTCCAGACTTCTGTGTTGCTTCTTTTGCTGAAGTACAAACTTCTCGAGTAAAAATCTTCATCACCTTTTGATCCAGTTCCTGCATGATCACTTAAAACTAGTTAAAGAAAGCCTAATGAATTTGCTTTCATATTTTTAATAAAATTACTGTATTCTTGGATTTTATGTGCAAGCAACTTCAGTAGCAGCAAAGACTTGATTTTTGTTTACCTCATGGCTAAAAGAAATAGCTTTCAGTTACTGTATTGAACTCCTAGCTAAGTAAGCACATTAAAAAATTATTTAGATATACAATGTATAATAATGTATTAAAGCATTTATGTAATATTAGCAACATCAAGGATATTTATTATATTTGTATCTAAAAAATTAAAAATTCTTTATATAGCAAAAAAAAACTTTTTTTCTTTAAAGATAATGATAGGTTTATAAACTAGCTTTGTCATAATATCTTCAGCATTTTGATCAAGCATAATTGGATACAAGTTATTCTCTTATAGAAATACCTAAAATAATATTTCTGAATGAAAAGAAATAATTTTTTGCATAACAAATGTTTGAAACATCTAAAAATAGCAAGAAATAATACACTGTGAATGACACACTGGATAAAAATTATAGTAGCATCCAGAAGCTTTTCTATGCATTTGATGCATAAAGCGGTAACTCTGACTCAACTACTGGAAAATACTTTGAATCTTTCACCTTTGTCCCAGCCTTCATTGGCAAATGAAATCAAAATGAAAAATATGAAAATTGGTAGCAGGGCAATGATTTAATAAGAGCTGGGATTCACAATATTTTTTAAAAATAAGTTATATTCAATTATTGAACAAAGAAATATTTTTCACATTTTTAGTACATGCAAGATACAGGCATGTTTTAAGAACTAAAAAAAAAATCATTTGAGCATATGCTACCAAAAAATCTCAGAATCTAGTGCTAATGTACAAATGTTAAGCTTTGCTGATGTATATTACAATATATTTCACATTAATCTTCAGAATTAACTTGCTTAAAAAGAAAGATATGATAGACAACCTGCAATTATTTTTTAGTTATATGTTATCTACTCTACATATAAAAATTGCACTAATCAAGACTGCCAGGAATTTTCAAAACCTTTTAAATGAGTATGAAAAATATGCAACTTTATAATTTCATTCCATAGAGATTTCTATTTTTCATGGATTCAATACCAAATGAAGTTTATTTAACATATAAAAATATAAAAGCGTAAAATTTTAAGGCACAATAAAACTCAACAAACAAGAAGAATTAGGATTATTCATTCTGCAATTTTTAAATTTACTTAACATGTAAAAATATAAAAGTAAAATTTTAAAATGAAATAAAACTAAATACTCGTAAACAGTAAATATTACGATTATTCATTCTGTAATTTTTTAATTTTCAACTAGTCAAGCTAAAGCTCTTAGTTTGCATGAAGATTAGAATACTACTTGTAGATTAAATACAGATTCGAACGCAGTGTTTTAGTCAAGTAATGGTTCAACAAATTTAAAATTATATATTCTTTGCATAATATTAAATTCAGTGGAGAATCACCTGATGCAGATAAAGATGCTGGAACAGAATTTATTTCTTCATTGTCCAAAATTATTGTAGATGGAGAATATTCTCCTATTCAAATAGTCAATGTAGATGAGACGAGTTTATTAGGAAAATGCCTAAAATACATTTTTATCGAAGGAAGAATGAGTTGTTCCTGGACATTAAACTTCCACAAACCAATTGACATTGCTTTTTGGTGAAAACCTAGTTGGTGATTTAGAACTGAAGCCTTTGTTAGTTTATCAAGTGGAAAAACTTAGAGCATTGAAAAGCAAAAGATAAAGAATGGCTTCCCATCATTTGGAAATCAAACAAAAATGCCAGGGTTACTGCATTAATATTTAAAGACCATTTCGTGCAAATAGTTTAGCAATATTGTAAAAGTAATAATTTACAATTTAAAGCATTATTAATCGTAGACAATGTTCCAGGACATCCAAAATCTCAGCAGAAATTGCATCCAGAGATCAATGCTATGTTTCTTCCTCCCAATACTACCTCATAGAGCTTGTGGACCAAACTATAATAGCTATATTTAAACAACATTGTATATGAACAACAATGACCAAAGCAGCTGACAGAGAAGATGGGCAAATGTTAACATTTTGGAAGAACAAATGCAAATGGTGGGTGATTTTTATAAAATTTTGAAGAAATACTGGAAGCTATAAAAGATAAAATGGCTATAAAAGATAAATTAGCCTAATGAATGAACTAAATTTGAATGTCAACAATGAAGATGTTAATGAGTTAATTGAATCTCACTCAGTACCTCCGTCTTGAGCTACAATTGAGCAACAATGAAATACACAATGAAAGTGAGGAAGAAGCTAGTAAAAACATCTAGACTTCAACAATTAAAAATATGAATGAAGGCTTCATGCATCTTGTCAAATTTCTGACTGCAATGGAAGAATGTAATCCCAGTAGAAAACATACATCTCAAGTACAGAAGGCGATTGAGAAAGACACAGCAAGTTATAGAAAAAAAAAGGTTCAGTTTACAAAAAAGGTTGTTCTCTTAACAAGTTTTTAAAGAAAATACCCAAAAGCACTTATTACATACTGATACACCTTATTAATTTCATTATGTCACCTTATTAATTTCGTTATGTCTACATAATGATAAATACTTTAAAACACAGTTTCTAGTAATTATTTTTATATCCCTTTACTTTTGAAAAATTCAATACTCATACACACTTGCAGGCACCAATTATGTGCAAAAGTCAAGAACGGGTTGTCTGTAAGCATTTTATACTTTCCTTCTTTTTTAAAAGTAAATATATATATATATAAATTACTATACCTTGCATTGTTTCAAATTACATTGCTTTACTAAATTTTATAGTGCAAATAAACAAACTGCAAAAATAATTAAATTATCTGATCAACAAGATTAACAGTATTATAAGTGGTACATTTAATTGAAAGATATGAGATATCTTTAAAAATACCATATGCAAAATCATTTTTACAAAAAATATTATTCATTTACAGAACATGGATTTAAAAAAGGATATTTCTAAAGTCTGATCCGGAACTTGGACTCCAATGAAATCTTCTAGAGGATTTAGAGTATACAAATACCTAAAAAGATAATAACAGATAAACTAATGTATGCATTTTATAACCAAGTACTCAATAAATTATCTTAAACCATTTGCTTTTTTTAAATGCATCTATAAAAACTTTAAAAATACAAATTTTTTGCAAAAGCATACATCTAAAAATTTAAAAGATTTCAGCTTACCAGCAGTCTCTATTCATCCTCCCCAAACAATACGCAGATCCTAAAATTAATAAAATACTTATATAATAACTATTTACATGACTAATATCTAATAACAATAATAGGAATATTTTATTAATATTGCATATGTCACGAAAATATTCATTAGTAAAATTTTAAAGTCGAAAGGTTTACGTATTTTCCCATCAACTATTTTTCATAAACAAAAACACCAAGCATTGCAATTTAATGCCGATAATGGCTTAGTGTTGTGATGTCAACAAAGACACTCATAAGTTCTTTGTTTTAGTTTTGCATAACTAATCCTTAGTAAGCCTGAGTTTTATTTTATTTTTTTTTTCCATGTTTACTTGAAAAGGTTAATTGATATTTAGGTTTGCAGTTTTCAGAAAAGGGGGTATTATTTAAACTTTGAACCTGACTTCTGCAGTCTAGCAAGCAGTGGAATATTTTCAATGTTACAGAACTAATTTTGAAAATGTTATACTCCAAACCGTGCGAGATTCTAGAGTTTATCAAAATGGAGCAGTAAAAAAAAAAATTGTGCAACAGCATTACAACACTTAGATTCAGAATTAAAGATATTTATGCAACGCCTAGTTAAGAAAGAAGATGACTGCTTTGTTGCTATGTTCAATTCAACTAGGGAATTTTGGCTGCCAGAATAATAATGGCATAAACTAAAGAATTTGATTGTTAGACAATCTCAAAATTTGTTCCTATTTATTTTCTTTTTTACATGTTACACAAAAGACTTGTATCTGCTGATTATCGAATTAAATCAAAAATCTTTTCTTTCAAACTTCCACTAACATGATTAGTATCAAGTTGGCAGAATTTCCACCAACTTTCACATTAGATGAGAAAATAAATACGTTAAGTACCAATTATAAATATGCAGTCAATGTCCATATGCACATTAAAAATACAATTTCAAATTACAAATCTCATAATACTTTTTTTTGAAATTTTAATGCAATATCTAGATAAATAATGAAATCATCTGAGTTAATTTCTTTCTGTAAATCCTTCAATAAATACATCAAACAAACAATAGCTAACAAACATATATTCCATTTAATTACACTCATTGAAAATTTTTATATATTAAAAAACTTGAACACAATAACAGACAACAGCTTTACCAACTGCATATAAATTAGATATGAATTTTGGATAGATTTGCATGTGAGCATGTAACTTTTTTTTTAAGGAAAGAAAAAACAATTTTATCTTACCATCAAATAATTGATCCAAAACTTCAGTCTGCAAAGAGAAAAAGGGTGTAAATATTATTCAGTGTTAAAAATTTACATGAACTCAGGAAGGCAAACCAATAAAATTTATTACAATACTTACTTCATCTTCAAAACTTGTATGAGGTTTGTTCTGAAGTTCAGGACGCTGAAAGTTCTTACGTGAGTAAAATATGTCCTACGGAAGACATTTAAATTAAAAATCTATTCTCGTATTCCAATGCATTAATTTATATAATTATATATTATGTTTTATTCAATCAATATATTATGTGTTATTTAATTTATATATTATGTATTAAACAGGATTAACAAATGGAAACGGATGCTGTTGATGGAATTGTTCAATATCATCTACTAAGAAACAAATGAAGCAATGAAGTTAGCCATGTCATTAATGGTTTTGGAGACAGAAAAACTAGCAAAATAATAATTTAATCATACAATGTTGGAATGTCCCAAATTACCTTTTTTAAAAAGTCTTATATAAAAATATACCTATACCGATATTAAATTTGATACACTTTGATTAAAAGTGATTATAAAACTTAGACGTAATTCAACAAATACAATCAAGTATAAATTTAATACTACCAACCTCTTCATTCAAAATGGTGTGCCTTTTGAATCAAACAAATCCATATTGACAATTATCAAAGTTTGACTTACTAGATCAGCTTTTGTTATGACTAGAGCAATATTACAAACAAAAGATATTAACTTCTTTACTTACCACTACCATATCAAAATCAGTATAATCTCTCACAACATATATCAAGGGTTTAACTGCCTGCAGCAAAGTTGTTGAGCCACATGTTTTCAGAATGATGCGATTCTTGGACACAAACAAACTGCTCTCACTGAAAATTAAGCATTTTGATTATTGAATGCTTCAGAATTAAAAGATGAACAATTTTATTAAAGATTTCACTTCACAACACAAAATTTCTAAGACCTAAGGTTCATGATGAACAAGTGATTTTTTTATATAAGAGTTGCATTCAAAATATGAAAAAAATAGGCAAAAAAATTTCAGCAAAATGTAGCAAAAATAATTCGAGTGTGTACAAGACATAAATTAGCAACACAAGAATTCAAGTAAACCAATAATTTTATAATTATTTAATAAAAACATGAAATTATGATAGCTATATTTTTACCTTTAAGGGTAAAATAAATCAAATATGAAAACAGCAATTATATTTCAAAAAATGTAGGTATAATCAAAGTTAAAAAAAATATGTACTAAAAAAATTGAAGTTTTAATTTAGTTAACTATAAATGGCAGCGGAAAACTTATAATATTGTATACAATTAAAAGGTAAAACAACAAAAAAAATCAGTATCTAAAAAAAGAAACAGGGACACCAGCATATTAAAAAACAACGCCACTGCAACATCTAATTTAGACTTCACATATTCAGCCATATATTGCTATTTCCCAATTCCTCAACTACCTATGCAATATATTTTTAAAATCTAACTATTGCAAATCATCTTATTATGAACTTAAATGTGATTAACAAGATTTAGGAGATTAAAAAAATGTTATTCATAAACATGTTAATGCAAACACAATCACAGCAAACCAAAGAGGTTTTATATCAGCAACTGCCAACTGCATTACATCCAAAGGAGTGCAAATTATTTTCAAACAGTTTATGATCAGATCCCTTAGTTTGTGAAACTTCCAATGAATTTTACTAACCTTAAAAAAAAAAAAATTAATAAAGATACTAATATAAGTAACAATTGTAGAAAGTTATTGACATGACTGTATCAGTATATATATATATTCTTTTTTTCCTGAGTGTAACATACTAAATTACAGCAGATTTGTAACACATACATCCAAAGATAATGAAAAATTTCAGTTCCCATTTAATTCATCAAACATGTGGAAATCTTGCATATTTTATGTTAAAGTAAATGTCAGTAATACTGTGAACATTATGTGCTCTAGATGAATTTAATTACAATGCCTAATTCTGACCCTCCTTTAAACACTATGAGCTAAAATCAATATACAGAACTTTCAATGCAGCAATTAAAAGTTAAAATAACTATTGCAATTAAAAAATTTTTAAATAATGAGCACTATTTTAGTTCACAACACTAAGAGAAAGAGAATTTTTTTAATTTAAAATATTCTTCAAATTTGATATCATTTATTTATTTTTAGGTTCTTCATTTTTGTTTTATTTACTAATAGCAGTTTTCACACAATCTGAAAAACAATCATTCCATTTTACTTTTATTTAAAAAAAAAAATAAGAAACACATCCTCTTACAACATGGAAACAATCTGGAATTTTAACGAGTTATAATAGTGTATTTTACAATTACTTACAACAGTATATAGTATATAAAACATAGTGCACTTATGTTTTTAAATAAATGATTCATTTAAAAAGAAATTCAGAAATTTAAACTTCATTAGTGCAAATAAATTTCAGCTAGTTTTGATTTTTAATGATTGACAAGTACACTTAGAACAACTACACAATGACATCTTTTGAAAAAATATGTGTTTTGATATTTAATCAAACTATATGTGATTATATATATCAATTAATATGCAACAGTATGTTTCACAAGATAAATTTCTGAAGTTTCAATAAAATTCATGGGGTGGCATTATTAAATACATTTTATATGCAAAGTAAAAACAGAACAGAAGATGTATTAGCGAATATGAAAATTATGCAAGTGTGTAATTTAGGTTACAAAACTGCAACTGTCTTTAAAGGAAAAAATGCAAACATATATGTTATATATATAAATAGAATTATCAACCTATGATTAGGTGTTCGGTTTTAAATTTCTTTTCAGATATCTGGCCTATGCTTGACTAGTATATTCCCCAAATATGCAAAATTTGCCTTGAACATTTCAAATGAATGCAAAATTACCACGGTATAAAGACCATGCTGAAAGCCTGAAGCTTTTCTGCCAAGTGACACAAGGACGACACCAAAAGCTAGCTGCAGATGAGAGAACAAAATATAACCTCAATTTCATTAAATAAATCAGATTTGAATAGTTAATAAAATGAACAATGAACTTTTAAACATCTGCCCCTTATACTTTTATGTAACTCTGAATTTAATAACTAATGATTACAAAATAGTACTGAAAACAAACATCAATGCCTTGCTTTAGGATACTGATGAAAATTTAATTTTTAAGAATAAATCAACTATTAGAATTATTAGATTACAAATTAATTTGTTTTTAATTTTATAAATGAAGCTACAACCAAACCAGCAGATTTATGTAAGTCAAGTTACAGTTAAAGTGACCAGAGTTCCAACATTTTAAAGTTCAGTATATTTGTATTTTTAATATGAATTAGGGAAGAGGATATAATAAGTGGCATACCTAAGGGATGAGCAAGGGAAGACATCTGTCTCTAGGTGCATTTTGGGTGTGCCAAACTGATGTTTAAAATTCTAGAATGAATGTTTTGTGTTCTCCGCAAATAGAAGGGGTGTGAAATCTTCAGTTGCCCCTGCACACTGAAAACCTTAGCTATGACTTTGGATAGAATTACATTCTAATATAATACTTTTGATAATTGAAATCTTCTGTAATATATGTAATTAAACAATATTACTTTAAACATTGTATTACAAAGCTACTCTCATTTAAGAAACCCCTCTTAATTTCTAAATATTTATTAAGTTTCTGATATCTTATTTTCAATATCCGCTTCTTAAAAAACATGATTTCCAAGTTCGTATGGTGACCACAGAAATTTGAGATAATCACCACTGAAGGACCCGTATAAAGCCTGTATATCAGTTGAGGGAATTTTTTTTTCTCTTTTTCGTAATTAAAAAAGTTGTCCATATTAACCTTTAAAAATCTTATGAAACAAATTTAATTTTGACCAATTTTTAATCACTAAAAAATAATAAATAAGTCCTTATTCTAGTTCTAATTGATGATACAATTCAAATTCTAGTTGAAAATATAATTGTCCTTTTTCAAGATGGTACAATTTTAAAATTCAGTTCCTGCATGAAATCCCAGCCTAATCTTTAAAATCAGTATGTCTGGTCACTTTAGTTACTGTTCATTTAACTAACTACAAGAATCATACAATCACAGCTTTCAATTCCATATTTACTCAAAATTTAACAAGTTCTTACAAGGCAGATAAACTACACATTTAAAAAATAAAAAGGGCAGATAAATTATGCATATTAAGATGCATATTACAAATAAAACACATAAACTTTAATACTAAAAAATCTTATATTTTATGTTAGTATGTTTTATCAAGAGATTAAAATACACAGCGAAATCCCGATTTTGGGTTTCTAAATTTAATACCTTCCCAATTCCTTCAGTTATCAATAGAAACATGATCAATGTATTTTACTTCTATCAATCTATACTTAAATGCAAACATTTTAAATCTTAAAATTAAGGCTAAACAAAAATATTCTACATGATTTAAAAAAGTAAACTGCACTTATTAATTAACGCAAAGCCAATGAGGGTTAATTCCCAAAACAGAATATATCTTCTTAGAACACTTTCTAATTGAGTCATGTAGGAGGAATTGGGTCATGTTTATGCTATATAAGAAAAACAACTACAGAAGATGTAAAGTAGAATTTCTTAATAACCAACTGCATTATATCTAAAGTAATTCACAAAAACTAGATTTAAATCAACCTTAAAACAAATCACAGGAATTAAATCTAAATTGAATAATAAATCTACAATTTAAGGAGGAAAGGGAATCTAAATAACAATAAATTCTACAAGAACACCACATTTTAAATATGCATACATAATTCTTTAATATGTGCAACTTTTATAAAATGTTGCATATTCATGAATGTCTAAAAATAGAAATGGTCATATCAATGGTAAATACAACTTAATCACAGAAAACATTTAAAAAATGCGTCACTTCTAGGCAACCAAAATTAAAGCTAACTGAAATGAAACATCGCATAAAATTAAATTTTAATATGTTAGGAAGTGATTGGCTAAGATAGTTATTTGCCTAAGAGGAGAAGCCTTCAGGAAGAAAGTTTTATGAACAATTAACTCCTTACACAAGAGGTGAAAATTAATAAATCGAGAAAACTAGCTTTATTTTTATTTCACTAAACTAGTTTGTTAAGAAAGCAGAACTGCTCTAAGAAATCAAAAGTTATAAAATAACAGAATTTAATCAGTGACCCTTTTAAATTCAAACACCAGACTAGTGGCAGTGATAGGTTTAAATTCCTATGTGTCTTGACACTACTCTATATTTTAAGCACCTAAACAAAAGATGACACTGCATGACATGAAACTGAGTACTATTCCCAAGTAAACTCAAATGTATCTATCATTCTAACTGCAAAAAATCAGCACAATTCCCTTGAAAATAACATGTTGATATTATAAGTTTGTCTTTTCACATCTGTTTCAGAGAATCAAAATTAAAATGCATTACAATAAATTGCCAAAAATAGAAAAAGTATTGAAACAATTAGTTCTATCAAATTATGTTAATAAATTTTTTAATTTATAAAAATTTTCTTCATGCTTTTAAAAATAATTGAAATGAAGAATATAAGGACTTTTTTTAATGCTGGATATTTTTACTTCACAATATTAAAATGACACAATTTAATGTTTTACTGTGATGAAAACAATCTTTCAGAGTTAGAATTGTGGGAAATTGATACTTTACATTCATAAAATCAGTTTCATAACAATTTAACAATATTTACAAGCATGCTTTTTAAATTTTATTTTTTACATAGTCTCAAATTACAGATACTCCAAACTGAGATGGACCAAATAGCAGGATGGAATACATCAAAATTCAATTATTTTCATTACAGAAAAC